GGCCGTGGAGATGATGGATCTGACAGAAGGGCCCGGTACGGAGGAGACCGTGCGTGTTTTGCGCTACAAGAGAGTCTGCGAGGCTAACGGCGATGCAGGACGAGGGAGGCGAGCCACGCAGACAGCTGCTGAAGAAGCACTGGCAGGAAGACCCCGGAGAGTACGCGCTCTGTAGATATTTACATGGCCTCAACGCTGATGGAAGTATAGAGCTCGCAAAGTGATGGAAGACATCTTTGACGGAGTGTAAGCACATCTCCGAATCCCCCCCGCTTTCCCAGCTAAAGTTAGCCGCTATGTAGTGTTCGAGAACGCCTAAAGGACATACTCCGACAATACGAACTACGAGAACGACATTTCGAGTGTGTCACACGCTCGAAGGAGCTCGAGGTGCTTCTATCGCGAGCGCGAGCAGCAGAGCAAATGCAGCTTGCGGAGGGCGAGAAGGGTCGAGCAGACAAAGCGGATGCTGAGGTGCGTCTATCATCAGCTCCGCCGTAACGTTGCCTAACGCTTTCGCAGGTCCAACACTATCGACAAGAGCTGGAGACAGTGCAAAAGGGCCAGAGCGCGCTGATCGACAAGCTCATAGCGTGCTGCAAAGAGGTGTGTCCCCCCACCGCGTATACCGACTCTGCGCCTCTCTGACACCAACTGCAGCCAAACGCCGAACGGACACAGCGGCTGTTTGCGTCCTTGCGGGAAGAGCTCGAGCGGCGTGGGACAATGCCCGTAGGGAACCCAGACGGACTTGTAGGCGGGTGACACAGGACATTTTCGATATCGTACCTCGCTCTGTCAATGCTATGCCGCTGCGAACTGCCGACACCGTCCCACTGCTCGCTGTGAACGAGTCACGAAGTGTAAACACGAGCGTGAGAGTTCATCCAAAGCGGAGCTGAATGTCCCTGTATGCGATTACAAACCGGTCAACCAATCGTCCAAGATTACTATTCTAGGGTGTAGTCCATTCCGTTAGTGTGAGATGCGGGGAGGGATTATATGCGTAGAGCGTCCGAGATGTATATCTTTCGATGATTAAAGCAGGGCATCAAACTCCTCCAGGGACTCGACCAGGCCCGAGCGGGTG